AAAACGCTTGTACAGACACTATGAATGAGCCTTGCACAATTGGTTCTTACCTATAGTCCTATTTCTGCATAAACAGCATTGATTCAGTGCTAAGGGTGGAAACAGCCAAGGCACAGCTGAAATCCTCTATTCCTAGCAGGGCCCTAAGAATGAGACATTGCTGGTTTTTAATTCTTCTCATTATTCCCTAGAAGGAAAGTTATATTTGTGCTGCCTCCAGGCAAAGTACCATCCCACATGAACAAAGGAATGAAACTAAGATCACATCCACTTCATCTTGCTGCTGCTGCTTCTGCACAGAAGCTCTCTGCAGATGCACAAGTCCCTGATACTGTATCTTCAGTGCTCATATATCACAGCAAATGATTCATTAAAAATACATAGACAGATTGATCTTCGAAGAGGGGAAAAAAAGATCTGGAGCTTAAGGGGAATGGAAAATAGAAAGGAAAAGCCGAAAGGTGGGAAAGGGAAACACCCCCAAAATTCACATGAGAAAGGCATACAAAGAGACATTTAAAAAGAAAGAGGAGACAGCAACTGTGTTGACATTTAATCTGTCTACCTGGGATAAAACTCATCCTTTTACTAGCAATAAAAGCAACAGCCTAGAGGAAGCCCGAGGCCCTTAAAGCATTTTGCATCAAGTACCTCACAAAAATGGTAGGCAATTTCTGAGAAGGTCTGTACAATCTTTGCACCAAAGAACAAATGTGATTAGATGGGAGCAAATCCCCAGTGCAGCTACAGTGGGCTCTGTTGGTATCGTGCTTTCAATGACACAACCAAAATAACACCGTGGTGCTGCGTCCGTGCAACAAAACTGCTTTTGATTGTTTTCATGCCAAAAATGAGCATATTTGTAGCCCTCCTTAATTGTTTCTTTTCCTACCCCACATCAGGCAGCCCTGCCAAGGATGCAAGCCCTACGAGCAGCTCCAGTGGGGCTGAAAACTGCCTAATGCTTTTGGAATGGTGTTCAAGTCCAAAGGGGCTCCCTGGTCCTTGTTCCCAACAGTCATCCCGATTCACCTTCCATTTGCCATTAGGCCTCAAGGCTGGGAAGGAAAAGAGAGGAAGATACACATAATTTGTGATTCCTGTGGCCCTGATAAACACGTGAGTGCCAAGACCAACCCTACACTATTCCAGCTTTTGTAATGTTTACTGGATGGCCAGAAGGCTTTACTCTGCTAAAGGGATCCTGTAAATCAAAAACCACCCATGCTTAAGAATAATAACCTGCTTGTGTAAGAGACACCTCCTTACTATGACATTCATGCAAATGGTGTGACATAGATGACATATTATTCTACTTTTATTACAAATAATTGGTAAAATACAAACAGGGACCATAGTTACAGTCTGTCAGTTAAAAAAAAATACAAGCCAAATACCCACAATGGGAAGAACATGTATATATTCACACGCACACATACAATAGCAATATTTTTAGCTATAATTTCCTACTCATGTGGCAACATGATGAGCATTTTGAAGAAGCTGAGCCAAGTGAAAACACAACCTGCAGAACAGGTCACGTTTAAATATTCTGCTATTGAAGAATATTAAAAACTACAGATTAAGTAGGAGTGTTGTAATACTTACATTAGTTAATGCTTGTAAATCATTCTGAAATACGCGGATAAAAGATGGTATAAAAAGTGTTGCCACATGCCTTTATGCTTCTAGATGCACACGATGCAGTCAGTGGATGAATTTAGTGTTGGTGTCTGAACACAGCAGAGAAACACCAAGGATGCCTGAACCCTGATTAAGAATTCCAGCGGGCACCTTGAGATAAACAGGCTGAAGTGTCTTCACACCTGAACCCAGGTGCTCGTGGTGCCCCATCAGGTCCAGTTCTGGAATGCCTCTGTTCTTCAGTGAATTAGCACAGCTCAGAGAGCTTGGCAAAGTTACTCAGCTTTGACTTGGCTGTATATCCACCTACGTGAAACATACATAACATCCCTTCCAACCTAGGATTTACATTACCAAGAGACTGAGGCTGTAGCATCAAGCAGCACGAAAAAGAAGGTATTGGGAATCTAGGAACCACTCAGCACGTGTCTATGGTCAGTGAACAACAGCAGTTTTCAGAGAACTTGGTGCTCCTTCCTTATGCCTTTTATAAAAATACAGAAATGAAAGGCCAGTATTAAGCCCCTTATGCCTTCCTGCGTTGATCTCCAGATCTGAGAGACATGTCTTTCATGGTACCAGTTTTACAGAAAGCGTGGGGAGTGTCACCTGCCTCACAAAGGAGCAGAACTGCTGTCCTTAAGAGGGGTAATTTCAGCGCCAGCATGTTTTATCTTGAGCGGCAAAAAGTACCCCGAATACACTCATCTTCCCCAAAAAGCGGGAACACTAGAAATTATTCATCCTCCCTGCTCTCTCCTCTTCCCAAACCGAGCAGGTGTGCTGCTTTATACCCACATTCCGGAGCAGAGCCCCGCGCAGCACGTGAATTACCCATCCCGGGAGCTTCCACAGGCTCCTTCCCCGCAAACGGGATCCTGCAAGCCCGGTCCCTGCGGCAGCCAGAGGCCGAGCAGCGACGGGAAGCAGGAACGAGCTGTGATCCCGAGGGAGCTGAGCGAGATGCCAGGGGCAGCCACCGGACACCTGTGCCAGCAGCGTTACCTGCACCTGTGGGTACAACCCCCTGTGCAGGTACCGCACCTCGGCGTGACGGCACCGGGACACACGGGCTGCAGGACACGCTGGGAATGTTCTGGCAGCAGCAGGGATCACCCTGAGGGACGCGCCCACCCAGGGGAGCACCCCGGGTCACCTCCCCGGGGAGCAGCGGCAGCATTCCAGGCTGGAGATGCAAGCGGGAA